ATGACAGATAGATTTAAATGACAGACAAGCTGAACATGTTGAACATCCTGAGACTTCAAAACAGAAGGTAGGGGTTATTTCATTTATGAAAACATTCATACTATCTCCTTTTTTAAGGAAAAATCTTAAAATTAATTTCCATTTAATTGGTTTTTCAAGACCCCTTATATATGCCTGTGTCCTTGAACAGTTGTGGATTAAGACTCTCCTCACAAATTGTCCTATGTTAATAGAGTTCAAATTTTATTTTATTTTTTGAGGTTAATACCTATTTTTATTAAAACACGTTAATTATACAAAACAATGGGATTTTATATGACATTTTCATATATTGTACTTAATGTACTTTGATCATATTCACCTCCCAGTAACCTCTCTTTTACCCAAACTCTAAAATCCTTCATCAAAATCATCTCAATAGTGGAGACCAATAACATGACTCAGTGAGTGGCACTTGCCACCAAGCTTGCACCTGGGTTTTATTCCTGGAACACATATAGTGAAAGGTATACAAGTGGTATTCTGAACTCTCTCTCTGAGCATACTCTATGTGTGTACCTTGGCACATAAGGACCCACACTCTTATGAAATAAAGACTTTCTGGTTAAAAATTTATAAGTATGTAAAATCTACCATTATAAAAAAGAAATACTTGCTATCATAAAAAGAAAATCAACCTGACTCAAGATGTTCTTATTATCGCTGGGTTCTCACCTCTCTATGCAATTGTCTACTTCAAGTTGCTACTACATAGGCAAAAGCAATGGGATTCACTTTTTTTCTTTTCTAATGTTATCTTTTGTAAACTTTGAAAATTAGATTTTGTCACATAATAGATTCTCAAAAAATTTACAATTGGACTAAGTTGGATTTATATATTACATATAACTTGCTTTTATTTCATCTTTTGTTTTTTTAAAAATAATGAATTGAATACTGTATATTATCAAATAATTGATGCAGGATATAGATGAACTCTGTATTTGATGTTGGAAATGAGGGACACTTGGCAGAATAATGTGTCACAGAGGAGAAATAGAATTGAAAAGCTAAGTCACACAAACCTGTGCCTTGATTATTATAGTTCTTTAATATAATTCTGAATATGTAGTTCTTAAATGCCAATATCTGAACTAAATCTACGTAATTTCGTTGATTTACATGGTGATTAAACTAATATAATTTAAATAACAAGATTGACATCAGTAAGATAGACTAGCAAAACACTTGACATCTAAATGTTAAAACCTTATTCATAACTATATCTCTAAACTTTGATAAAATAACGATGAAATTTTATCTCAGATTCTTATAGCTGTCATGAGTACTTGGGTACCTTGATCCCTAACCTCTGCTTGATTTCTTTCAGGTCTTAGAAGAAATGTTACCATCAATGACTTTACTTACATCATTTTTACTGAGCTCAGATATTTAGATTTGACTCTTCCCTGCACAAACTGTTATTGGATATGAGGTAATTTATAATTTAAAGACAATCATATATTCATATTTCTTACAATGTCCAAGCTGTCATATCAAATCATTAAATTAAATGTATGTATTTATGATAATGTCAACTCATGATGATCAACAATAACTTCTTCACTTTCTGAGTCCTTCAACATATCTGCTATAAATATAGCTTAAAATAAAACAACATTTGAAATACACATATAATTTTATTTCAATATGCCATACAGATTCTAGCTGAAATGCCCTGGGATTCACTTGAAGATACATCCATGTTTTAAACTCTGCTTTCCATAGTAGCATCCATCAACCAAATACATCATCATCATCTTTGACTTGTTGCAAAGCAATCCAGCTAACATTCCTATTTATATTTTTGATAAATATATTTATTTTGTTTTCAACAAAGAAGGTGCTTTTTTAATTCCCCTCTGAGGTGAGGCCAATCTTCACCCCAGAACTATTGATAAATCGTCATTCAAAGTCCAGCCCTTAATCTGCTGTCAGTTCAGATCTCCTCACTCAAACATTCCTGCCCCAATGTCTTCCTTTGTCTCCTAAATGTTTTCCCCAATCATCAGTTTCCTACCTGATCTCATTTACCATAAATATTCTCCTGTCTCTGGACTTTCCCTGGTTCTCCTTTCTAAGGATTACCCTCAGTTCACATAACATATAATAAAATACTCTCTCATTTAAGTCTTTACACTGTTCTGTTTCTCAAAGAGGTATGTCTTAAGTTTATTTTGTTTGTTGATAAACACAATCTTGGGGCTGCAGAAATGGCTCATTGGTTAAACACAAAAGCTGTTCTTGCAGATGATTTGTTTGTTTACAAGCACCCTTGTCAGGGTACTCTAAGGGAACCCAATACCCACTTCTGAACTCTCTGTGCATCTGTACTCTCATGTGCATGTATTTATAAACAGACATATACATATACACATTTAAAGACAAAATAAAGGGTTTAGAAGTGAAGTCAGTTTGGAAAGATTTGGATATGTTCTCATATCCATCTGTTAATCTTTACTGAATAGACATCTTCAGTTTTATATAATAGCACATTTATTACACCTGACATCTGATGCCTAGTGTCTCATATTCACAAAATATGAGTTCTCTGAAGATAGAATTTTTCTCCATAATAGCTCTTGTATCTTGTGAAGGGAATCTCTATTTGACACATAGTAAACATTTAATATTAATATTTGTGAATACTTATTTATTGATTAATTGACCAAACCTCGATAATGAAGATACTTTCCACAATCAAATGTTATTTATCCAATTTGTTTATATTAAAAATAATTTTCTACACTAAAGATCTGCACACAATGAATGCATAAGTCTACTACTCAGCAAGTAAACTTCAAAATGGTTTAGTTTTTTGTAATGAATTATTTAGATATAGTGACAATTATATAAGCTTTAATTAATGAATTTCTTCATTGTGTTATGTCATTAAACACTTTTAAAACATGAGAAAATTTGTATTTGAGAGGTTTTCTTCAGAACATTTAAATAGTATCCATTTCCATTTTTAAAGCAAGAGGGTGCATTCTGAATTTCCTTAGAAGCCATGTGTCCCTAGGCTAATAATGCACACATACTATGCCTGGTTGTCAGGGAAGCTGGCTCACACTTTAGAAGTAGAAAACACACTGCTGCTTTTCACAGCAAGGCTCTAAGCTCATTGCTAGGAGAGAATGTCACAATACAGAGAAGTGCCAGGCACATTTCACATAAATACTCCAGAAAGACCATGATACCTACAGAATGACACAAAAATTATGTGCTTGGGAGCCAGTTCAATTTTCTGTGAGTCACCTGTTGCTTCCTTGCAAATCAGTGCCAATAATTTTATAGAAAAATTGAACACATTAGGAACAGCAGGAAGGGCTATTAATTAGACAAAAGTAATTTCATGATACAGAAAACAAAATGTCTTTAAACACATTTTTTTGTTGTTCAATCCCTGTAAATTCTCTAAAAAGTCAAACATGAAGTCAGGCTTGGGGCAAAAGACTCTTCCTAAAAGCTTTCCAAGACAATGAGACAGGAGGACTGCAAATTCACAATATACTAGAAATTCCAAGGAAGGTAGAGTCAGTGTATGAAAATTAGTGAGACTCTGACTCAATATAAAATAAAATAAACTTAGTTCTTGGTGTGTAGCATGATAAAAACCCAGAAACAAATTTTGGGGTCCAAGATTCCAGCTGAAGATCAGAGAAGTAAAGCAGCCAAGCCAGTAAATATTGCATATACCAAGCTGAAATGGCAATCCTGTCTCCATGAATCCTCAGAGGAAAATCTTCAGTACCTGTCTCCTTCTCCTTTTACATTCCATTCCCCACCCAGCCATAACATGTCTCCACCTCCCTAGTGCTGGTATTAAAGGCATTCAATCCTATGTGTTATTCTCAAAGGCATGAGCTCTGTTACTCTTCACTGTTGTGTAGGCCATGGGGGTCTTGAATTCAGAAAGATCCATCTGCCTGTCTCCTGAGTCCTGGCATTAAAGGTGTTTGCCATCACTGCCTAGCTTCTGTAACTAATTAATGTGGCTAGCTTTGCATTTTGATATATCAGGCAACCTTTATTAAATCATAGGTAATATATTACAACAGTGCAGGAATTAATTTAATGGCATAGGTTTTATCTAGTATGTTAAAATCTAGGGTTAATCAAAATATCAGTTCCAGAAATAAAATACTAATATATATTGTTTTATAATTTCAAATTCATTAAATATGGGATGGTAGGAGAAGAATGTATTTAAATAATTGTTAAATTTGTTGTTTCAAAAATCCCTCAATTTTGATTTACTAGGTTTGAATTTTTTATTAGATTTTACATTTTGAAAATAATGTTGTGGGACTCCTGATATTAAATTCAACATTATATAAAACTCGGTTTGCTGGCAGTGGGAAATTCTTAGATTCATGTTAATTTTGAATAGTAGAATTATTATTTCAGATTTTACATAGTTAAAAATATTCATGCATGGAGTCATTCATGGTAGTACACAAAAAAGGCCCTTGAGGGTTGAAACCCAAATTAAAGCTGGGCATAATAGCATACTCCTATTATGACAACTCAAGACTATATCTCTGAGTTCAAGGCAAGTCTGGTCAACATAGTACTTTTCAGGATTGCAAGACCTCATAGTGAGAGTGTTTCAAAATGAACAAGTGGACAAAATCATGGAAAATATTTGCTCATCAATAATGAGCACTGATAACAAAAAGAAATAAGATCCTTGATATTTTGAAAATATACTTTTACATCTGCTGTGAGGATCTGTATACAGTACATAAAGATGGCATCTCAGGTGATATGTTTAAACAAATTACACACAACAATAAATCTAAATTAAATATAGAAAATGTGCCTGTACATGTAATGAAAATTCTTTGTGACCTTGGCAAGAGAAGATGCCCACTGCTGGTGACTCGGTAAGATAAGTCTTTAGATTAATAGTTATGGTTGATAATTAAGACTGAGCTAGCATATATGAAATCCTAGTCATGCTCGCTTTGGCAGCACATATACTAAAATTGGAACAATACAGAGAAGATTAGCATTACCCCTTCGCAAGGACGACAAGCAAATTCTTGAAGCTTTCCATATTTTTTGTCTCCACTCTGCCCTATGTCCTGCAGCAGGTGCCTGAGACTCAGGTGAGTCTGGGCTCTGATCTGCTCTCCAACTTCACCCACCAACCCCTGCTCACTCCTGCCTGAGCCCACATGGGCAAGAGTAGACCTTCCCAGACCGGGAAGGCCCACCATGAGTGCCCCCAGTCCCACCCTTGTCCACCCACCCCCCTCTGCCATCCAGCTGCCACCAAAGGATGAGCCCTCTGCAAGCCACCTGAGAGAGGGAGAGACCCCACCTTCACTCACTGTAAGAAAGGATGGGAAGAAGCGAGAGTAAGACCACACTCAACAACAGAAAAACGAATATGACACCACCAGAATCTATGGACTCTGCACCAGCAAGATCTGAAATGCCCAATACAGAGGATGAAGAAGAGATGGATCTCAAAACTTATCTTTGGAAGATGATAGAGTCCTTTGAAGAGGAAACAAGAAAATCCCTTAAAGAAATAGAAGAAAACAACAAAACAAAACAAAAACCTTACATGAGATGGAGGAAAAGACAAACCAAAAAATTCAAGAATTAAACAAATCTCTTAAAGAATCTAAAGAAAGCCAACAACAACAACAACAACAAAAAACCAAACAAGTGAAGGAAGCACTCAAAACAGGCATGAAAGCTGAAATAGAAACAATAAAGAAAACACAGAATGAGTTGATCCTGGAAATAGACAGGCTGGATAAACCATCAGGAAATAAAGATGTGACTATAACCAATAGAATTCAAGAGATGGAAGAGAGAATCTCACTTGTTGAAGACTATCTAGAGGATATAAATTCATTGACCAAAGAAAATCTCAAATCCAACAAATCCCTAACCAAAATATCCAGAAATATGGGACACTGTGAAAAGGATGAACATAAGAATAATAGGTATAGAAGAAAGTGAAGAAATACAGCTCAAAGGTACAGAAAACATATTCAACAAAAGCATAGAAGAAAACTTCCCCAACCTACAGAAGGATATGCCTATGGAAGTACAAGAAGCTTACAGAACACCAAACAGAATGGACCACAAAAGAAGTCCCCTTGACACATAATAATCAATACATCAAACCTACCATATAAAGACAAAATATTAAGAGCCACAAAGGAAAAAGGCCAAGAAACATATAAAGGCAGACCTGTCAGAATCACACATGAATTCTCAATGGAAAAGTCCTGGATAGATATAATAGAAACAGTAAGGGAACACGAAGGCCAATCCAGACTACTGTATCAGCAAAACTTTCAATCACTATAGATGGAGAAAACAAGATATTCCATGACAAAACCAGGCTTAAACAATACATATCGACAAATCCAGCACTACAGAAAGTTCTAGAAGGAAAACTCCAACCCAACGAAAATAACTACACTCAAAAACACATAGGTGATAGATAACCCAATATACCAAACATTAAAAGAAATAAGAGGATGAAATACACACACAATGACACCACGAACAATTAATGCAAAACAAACAAGAACCAACAATCAATGGACATAAATATCACTCAATGTCAATGGTCTTGACCTGCCCATAAAATGATACAGGGTAACAGAATGGATATAAAGACAGAATCCATCCTTCTTCTGTATACAAGAAACACACATCTACTTCAAAGACAGGCATTAGCTCAGAGTAAAGGGTTGGGAAAAGATTTTGCAATCAAATGAGCCCAAGAAACAAGCTGGTGTAGCAATCCTAATATCTAACAAATTAGACATCAAACTAAAATCAATCAAAAGAGATGAAGAAGGGCATTTCATACTCATCACAGGAAAAGTCCTTCAAGATGAATTCTCAATCCTGAACATGTATCCCCCAAATACGAAGGGACCCACATCCGTAAAAGAAACATTACTAAATCTCAAACCACACATAAAACCACACACACTTATAGTAGGAGACTTCAACATCCTGCTTTCACCACTAGACAGGACTACAAGGCAGAAACATAACAAAGAAACAAAGGATATAACAGAACTTATGTCCCAAATGGTTTTAACAGATAGCTATAGAACATTCCATCCAAACACAAAAGAATATACCTTTTACTCAGCCCCACATGGCACCTTCTCTAAAATTGACCACATTGTTGGCAACAAAGCAAACCTCCACATATAAAAAAGATCTGAAATAACCCCCTGTATCTTATCAGATCATGATGCTTTAAAGATAGAATTCAAAAGCAAAACAAATTGCAGAAAACCTACAAACTCATGGAAATTGAATAAGACCCAATTGCACAGTTCCTGGGTTGAGGAAGAAATAAAAAATAAAGAAATTAAAGATTTCATAGAATTTAATGAGAATATAGACACAACATCTCCAAACTTATGTTACACTCTGAAAGCAGTGCTGAGGAAAGTTCATAGCATTAAGTGCCCACATGAAGAAACTGGAGAAAAGTCACACTAGAGAATTGACAGAATAACTGAAAGCTTTAGAGCAGTAAGAAGCAAATTCACCATGGAGGAGTAGATGCCAGGAAATAATCAAACTGAGTGGTGAAATCAATAAAGTAGAAACAAGGAAAATATTACAAAAAAATCAATGAAACATAGAATTTGTTCTTTGCGATGATCAACAAGATAGAAAAACCTCTACCCAAAGTAACCAAAAGAAGAGAGAGGCATTCTAATTAACAAAATCAGAAACAAAAAGAGGGATGTAACAATGGACACTGTGGAAATCCAGAGAATCATCAGGTCATACTTTGAAAATCTGTACTATACAAATTTTAAAATCTAAAGAAATGTACAACTTTCTGGATAGATACCACTTCCCAAAATTAAACCAAGAACAGATAAGCAGTTTAAATCCACCTATAGCCCCTAATGAAATAGAAGCAGTCATCAAAAGCCTTCCAATAAAAAAAAAAGCATAGGGCCAAAGTATTCAGAGCAGAATTCTACCAGAAATTCAATCAAGTGCTAATACCAGTACTAATCAAATTGTTCCACACAATAGAAGCATAAGGGACATTGCCAAACTATTTTTAAGAGGCTAAAATTACTATGATACCCAAGCCACACAAAGATACAACTAAAAAAAGAGAACTACAGACCAATATCACTTATGAACATCAATGCAAAATACTCAACAAAATATTGGCAAATTGAATCCAAGAACACATCAGAAAAATCATCCACTATGATCAAGTAAGCTTCTCCCAATGATGCAAGGATGGTTCAACATATGAAAATCCATCAATGTAATCCACTATATAAACAAACTTAAAAAGAAAAACCACATGATCATCTCAATAGATGCTGAAAAAGCCTTTGACAAAATCCAAGATCCCTTCATCATAAAGATCTTGGAGAGTACAGGAATAACAGGAACATATCTAAACATGATAAAGCAATATACACCAAACAAACAGCCAACAACAAACTAAATGGAGAGAAATTCAAAGCTATTTCTCTAAAAGCAGGAACATGGCAAGACTGTCCAATCTCTCCATATATCTTCTATATTGTACTTGAAGTTCCAGTTAGAACAATAAGACAAGATACCATTGAAAAAATTGTCACAGGAGACCACTTCATGAACATTATACCATTATCACAGACATTGAGATCTACAATTAATAAATGTGACCTCCTGAACCTGAGAAGTTTGTGTAAGAGAAAGGACAGACAGTAAGGCAAAATGACAACCCATAGAATGGGAAACTATCCTCACCAACACCACATCTGACAGAGGGCTGATCTCCCAAATATAAAATGAACTCAAGAAGCTAGCCACCAAAACACCAAGGAATGAAATTAAAAACTGGAGTACAGAACAAATAGAGAATTCTCTACAGAGGAATCTGAAATGGCTGACAGACATTTAAGAAAGTGCTCAAAATCCTTGGCCATCTAAGAAATGCAACTCAAAACAACTCAGAGATACCACCTCACACCTGTCAGAATGGCTAAAATCAAAAACACCAATGACAATCTATGCTGGAGAGGATGTGGAGAAAAAGGAACAATCCTCCATTGCTGGTGGGAGTGCAAATTTGTAAGACCACTTGGAAATCAGTATGGCGGTTTCTCAGAAAACTGTGAATCAATCTACCACAAGATCCAGCAATTCCCCTCTTGGGCGTATACCCAAATAATGCACACTCATATAACAAGGACATATGTTCAACCATGTTTATAGCAGCATTGTTTCTAATAGCCAGAACCTGGAAGCAACCTAGTTGCCCCTCAACTGAAGAATAGATAGAGAAAATGTGGTACATTTATACAATGGGGTACTACTCAGCAGAAAAAAGCAATGGAATTTGAAATTCACAGGCAAATGGATGGAACTAGAAGAAACCATCCTGAGTGAGGTAACCCAGGCACAAAAAGGCAAACATGGTATGTGCTCACTCATATATAAATTTTATACATAGTGTAGGGGAACCTGTACCATGCCTGCTTAGGAGTGGTCAGGGTGATGTGGAGTTTCAATTGGCTGGGTTTCACTTTCAGTTTCACCTTTGGGCTTGCTTACAGACTGCTGCCACACTGGCTGGCTAGGTCACTCTGTAAGTAAGGCTTTTCCCTATTAAATACCCTTATATTTCTACTTGGCTACGTATTGGTAATTTCCCACTATAACATAGAGCAAAGTTTTACCAGCCTACAATCCTCTTCACCAAAGAAACTAGGAAACAAAAAGTACTCTAAGGGGAAAATGCATGGACCCCAGGAATGAGAAGGGGTCAGGATCTCATGAGTTAATTGGGAGCATGAGGGTAGGGGAGATAGAGCTGCCAGAATGAGAGAAGGGGAGAGGAGAGGAGAGGGGAGGAGAGGAGAGGCAAGGAGAGGAGAGGAGAGGAGAGGAGGGGAGGGGGGAGGAGAGGAGGAGGATAGTCAGAGGATGTTGGGTGGGGTGGGGGGGAGGGGAGGAGGAAGGGGGGGGGGGGGGAGAGGAGAGGAGAGGAGAGGAGAGGAGAAGAGAAGAGAGGAGAGGAGGAAATGGAGGAGCAGAAATGATGGAAAG